TTATCTTGCACTTCTCCCCCCGCACACACACACACATCAACTCGTTGGGCAAACAAAGATAAACAACAATTGCTAATTCCTTCCTCCTCACTCCCCTCTCCCACTTCCCACCACCTCTCTCTCTCTCTCTCTCTCTCTCTCTCTCTCTCTCTCTCTCTCTCTCTCTCTCATGGCCACTGGCACAGACACCTAATCAGAATGGGCAAGGATCGGAAAGCCATGGCATATGAAGTTCCCTGGCCAGCTGCACGCAAACCCTATCCCTCCTCAATCTCCATGCCCAGTCCCGACCGCAACACAATTTTTCCTTCGGCTTTCCTCCATCCGCATTCATCTGCGATGTACTGGAAAGTGTAAGGAAAGGAAACAGGTCCTCTTTGATGCAATCAGTCACCGCAATTCTACAAAGAACCCACAGTAGTGACGGGGTGAAAGTGTCCATATCACCAAAGCCCACTGGGTATTAACCGCACTTTTCATGAACTGACTGCATTCTCTCGGCCGCTTTACACAAGCCGGTACATGGCCAGTCATATACAGCGATACAGGGCTTCCCTGCCGCCCTCCTTCCCGCACAATCCTCTGCACAGACCACAGGGAAGATCATGCCCTTCCTGTATCAGACACACCATGTGACAGCCTCTCTACTCGATTCATTCACACTTTCGTCGAGGACTGATTGAACTGTTTTCCCTTTTACTTTCCTCTTCGAACTGATTTAGACTCCTTTGCTCTTCCTCTAAAATTAATGAATTACCGATTTCCGTTCCCCAGCCTTTCATTTTCTGCTAACGATTTCTACGATCATAATTTATTATATATTCATTTATGATCGATACTATAATAAATATCAAGAATTCTCTTTCTTTTCTTACGTTTTTTTTTCCCCTTTTTTCTTCTTGTTTTAAAACACTCATGCCCCATCTATTCCGGGAGGCGTCAGTCCGGTTACTCGTCACCGACAAGCATGGTTATAAACAATATAAAAGAAACGCAACATGAGGAGGAGAGGAGATGAGCAGAAAAGACAAAGTTCCGGCCACCCTTGTGGCTCTATTCGTTTTCTGCTTTCACTACTCAGTTTCCCCCCCCTCCCTTCGGCCCCCTCCCCGCCTCCACAATTTCTGGCTTGAGACGAGCAAACAGATCGGACAGTGAATCAGGAGAACATATTTGGTTTTTATTGTCATGCTACAAAGCATGCTTCTTTCTGCGACATGTGCCTGGAGATGTGTCTGAAAGCATTTCTTGAATGCCCGCTCCCTCAAAGCCTTTGCTCCCCCCGTTCCTCCCCGTCCACTGTGAGCTGGAGTTTGCAAATTGAGGCTTTTGGATCATCCCAGCTTTCTCATGCAGATTTGAGAGGCCTCATGGTCGGCGATCCCTCCTCTAGCAGTACCCGACGGTCACAAGACACCCTAAAACAAACAAAATTTCAAGTGATCTCATCATGCTGAAGACCTCATTGTTTGGAGCGAGCCATTCACCAGAGCACGGGATGCTTGTGAAATTCTTCCCTCTCCCCCTTTCCCCCCCCCCCCCCCTCTTTCTTTTGCCAATTTGGACCATTTCACGATTTATGTGTGTCATCCCCCACAAGTGGTTGGACCGTTGGGGCCACGCCAATCTTCTCTGTATTGTTCCAATTTTAAAGAACGCACCCAAGAACATTCTTTCAAATTCTTTGCCTCCATAAAATAACTCATAGGGTCATAGTAATCATTACTGTTTTGCATGCCTGACACAAGTGTCGTAAATCATAGCCACCCCTGAAAATCTCCACACAAATTTGCCCACACTCCATTCCACATATGCCAGCACATGGGGTGTTTCGTACCATAACTTCATACTAAGTTCATAGATGATACAGTCCATTTTCCGTACAGAACGGGTTTGAAATGGGACCCAGGACATGTAAGCGGTCAACGAACAAAAGGCTTTGGACTCGGAGCGTTATTTGAACTTATCTCATGTGCACCGTGTCTCAAACAAAAGGCTTAGGGGGATAAATTGAGCATCATCCCAGGATGCCTAGGGGGAGACATTATGGGCTAGCACAAGCGTCCCGCTGGATACATTGAGGGATGGAGCGATCGTCAAACAAACTGGTTTGGAGCGTTATGAACAGTGCTATGACCAGCAAGCAGAGGATGATATCGGTCCCGCTGAAGGTCCCGCTGAGGGATATTCAACTTCCCATAAGAAAACGAATATCGGTGTCCGCAACTTCCCAAAGATGACGTTCTTGCTCATGATGTTTGTTCTCTCTCTCTCTCCCTCCCTCTCTCTCCCTCCCTCCCTCCCTCTCTCTCTCTCTCTCTCTCTCTCTCTCTCTCTCTCTCTCTCTCTCTCTCTCTCTCTCTCTCCCACTTCCTATCACCGCCCACTCATCCGCGTTCGATCCCGCTCTCTCCCTCTCTCTCTCTCTCTCTGCCCACGATTGAAGGAACACTGACGCAAATGCTACATGCTATTGAATACGGACGTGTATCTATGTTTGAAGGAGTGTAAGTGCACACATTGCCGACTGCGATGCAATGTCTGTCTTTAACAGGGGACCAACACCCGAAATGAGAAACAGAGCCTGTCATGTACACGGAAACGACAAGCTACCCCACTACATGTTTTGGGAGAAGATGACATGAACTCGGAAACGAGTAGCGAAGCGGCCTCTTTATTTGCGGAGAAGGGTGGCAATGGACATGGGATGTTATCAGGGACTGGTCACGATGTAGGAGTTATCCAACCATAGTTCTGCGACAGCGGGAAGATGCAGAAGGGACAGAGATCAAGATGGTGACGAGGGCAATACTATAGCCCAAAGAAAGCGGAGTGGAGCAGAAGGAACAAATATGTCATGGGACGGGGAAAACATCAAGACAGGACCAGCACAGGAATGGAATAACCAGAAGGAATGAAATGGTGACACGCCCTGGCTCAGTTCGTAGAGCATGAAAGCGCCATTCAGGAGGTTGTGGGTTCGATTTCCCCCCGTGCCCAATCGAGCCCCAACAGCTCCTGAGGAGCGGTGCGTGTTCACCAGCTGAGATAGTCAGCTTTTCCCTCCTGGTTGGTTGGTCGGGAATGCCAACCGTTGCCAGGGGTTACGTTCAGCCCTGAGGGAGGCTCAACCATACTTGCGGCACACTTCTGCGGTGCGCCATGCGCAAATTAGTTATACACTCAATTTTACTTATTATTATTATTTTTATTATTATTTTTATAGGGGTGTGTGTGTATACAGGGGGGAGAGAGAGAGAGAGAGAGAGAGAGAGAGAGAGAGAGAGAGAGAGAGAGAGAGAGAGAGAGAGAGAGAGAGAGAGAGAGAGAGAGAGAGAGAGAGAGAGAGAGAGAGAGAGAGAGAGAGAGAGAGAGAGAGAGAGCAAAGGACCCCTTTTACACACATCAGAGGGCCCCTGCAGGTAATCTGAAGGGTCGTCGCAGCAAATTAGCGTAGACCCTCCACCAAATCGAGGCAGGCGCGGAGTATGAAGTGGATCAGGAGCTGGCCGAATATATACTCTAGATTCGAATTCAGGTCTGTGTTTCAGCAGTTATGGGTTGCTCACTTAGCTAGGCCCTGTTGGTCTCTGCATGTGATTCTCGGGGCTTGGCTGCACTACTCACCAAATGTGCAAAATTAGAATGAATCTTCTGCTAGAACATGGAGCCACACGCTGCCATCTGTTTTGTCTTTTGTGCATGTGGTTAGTAGAGCCCCTTAGGGCCACTGCATCTATTCCTAAGAAAAGGAAAACGAACAAACAGAAAATCACGTGCAGAGAGCAAGAGGTGACCCATAACCGCTGATACACAGACCGGAATTTGAATCCAGACGATATACTCTCGGCCCACTCATGCAGAACTGGAAGCCTAACGCCCATCTCTGCCTAGCGATGGGTTCTTGCCGATTTCGCTGTAGGGCACCTTCGGAAAAGAGACTGGACACAAATATGACATGCACACCCACACGCACACACATACACACACAGTTTTGGGGTATGACGTGGCCCCAACTGATAGGCCTCTGCACGTATGGCCGCAGAAGCCATTCCGTATTAGCGAGTCTGACACGCACAACGGTGCTCAAATCCTAGGGCAACTGCACCTCCGTTGAAGCAACCGCCGGGATGATTATAGAGCATTCAGAACATCCCTTCTCAGCCACATATGTAAAAGCGTAAAAGGGTATGCACATATGCAGACACTCTTTGTAGGGAGGTGGTCTGTGTCATCCTTGAGAAAATGTCGGCATGAATCATGGCAAGAGCCGTGAAGCGCTTGTCCCATAGCTCCCAGTGGTCAGAGGCATAACACGAGGACCATGTTGTGCATGCCGAGACATGGGCTGTTCCTCAAGACTCGCTAGACACCGGCGTAGCAACGAGCCCAGCCGCTCGCATGACAAATGATTAAAGAAAAACTGAATAGGAGGGTGGAAGGCAGGAAGAACGGAAAGGCGGACTGACAACCTTCAGATGTACTGTGTCAGAAATCTCCATCTACGCACATAACGACACATTAACAACTCCAGCTTCATCTATGTACACATGCATGCACAAATGTAAATCTACTTCCAAACAGATTCAGCCATCGATAACCCTTGTGCACTGAACGCATATGCTCATTAACAATGTAGATCATGGCATTACCCACTACATATTCATCTATAACACTGATGAAAATCTACAACAACTACTCCATGCCTAGTCCATCTTCATCTATACTACTGAATAAAAAATGTATAGAATTGGATGTGCCTCTGTGTGTGTGTGTGTGTGTGTGTGTGTGTGTGTGTGTGTGTGTGTGTGTGTGCTGTCATATTCGCTATACACTGAAAAAAAACACGACTGTGCCCGACAGTTTCGTTGGACTTTCACCGGCTTATCAGGAGGTTGAACCCCAACAGTCAGTCTGCGCAGGATGCATTTGACTGATGGATAAGGGCTCACCACATCACCCAGAGTTAGCCATACTCTTTTGAGAGGGAAATGTGGTCGACTTTACTCACACCAACCTTGTGTGTGTACGTGTGTTTGTGTGTGTGTTATTGATTTTCCCCACAATAGCGGAATAAGGTCGACTTTACTCACACCCAGATGTGGTTAAGGTCGACTTTACTCACACCCAGATGAATCTATTCATAATCAAAGCAGTTTTTGACTCTTTGTCCTACTGCAGACAACGAGAGCATTTGAGATGAGACAGTCAAAGTCCAACATATTAAAGCAATTTTATAATTATATAATTGTGTGCGTGTGTGTGTTAAACGTACATGCCACATGTGTGGCTACCTAATACTTTTGCGTTTCGACATGCCCCTGCCGGACATTCATTGGGTTTATCATGCTTTGAAGTATCGAAGCACAGCTACTCTGTGTGTCAAGGCTACCAACCCTCGGCTCCCACAATCCAAATCACAAGAGGGTTATTAGCCTATTACAAAAAAACGAAGCACAGATGGACAACGATAATAAATTCCCGGATGTTGCTGTGTTGATTCGGTTAGATTGACTGATTCTGGTCTGAATTAGCATCTTTATACCACCACCCAGAGTAGTCACGCCGACGGTCGGCGCCCGTGGATTGGTCGGGGGGGGACCAGCCGACCGTTGTACTGGTCGGCACCTACCGGTCGGGGGTCGGTTGGCACCCCGCCAATTTTTATTTGTTTATTTATTTTGGGTCCAGAACCCCAAATAACCCCATCAACACCCCCATTGGCCCCCTTAACACCCCCATACCGCCCCCTAACACCCTCATACCCCCCTTTAACCCCCTATAACCCCCCTATGGTCGGCCCGACTGGTAGGCGCCCCTACCGCCTACAGTAGGCGTCGGCGGTAGGCGCCCAAACTACCCTGCCACCACCCATCCTCAATTCATCACTCAAGTCGTCCTCTGAGGCTGAAATCTCTCTCACATCACCGCCAATATCTGGCAGGTTAAATTCTTTAAGAGTTTGGAGCTCGTTTAGGGTAGAGTGGGGTGTGACTTCCCCGCTGGCTTTCTACGTGGTGTGCAGGCTAGCTTCTTAATAGTTCTTATGACTGTGAAAAGGCATACTTCAGCCAGTCAGCATCATTATATTAACCAAGAAAGCAGTAAATGTGCACATTGAAAGTGTTTTCCTTTCCCATTATTATTATTTTATTATTATTAATTTGTTATTATTGTTTTATTATTATTACATTTATATTATTATTATTATTTTACTATTATTATTATTTTACTATTATTATTATTTTACTATTATTAATTTATTATGAATTTTTTATTAATTTTTTATTATTATTATACTATTTTATCATTATTAATTCATTAGAATTTATTACTATTATTATATATTATTACTATTATTATATTATTATTGACTAATACACGAAACATCACCACATGTAAGCAGGTTGAATGCAAGTCCCTCTCACCTCCATTCGGTTGGCTAGCACAACAAAGTCGTCGCTCATCCACATACTGGGCATCAAGACCAATCATCCATGTTCCGAGTGTGACATCCTCGTTCTTGAACTTATGCAAAATAGCCCTGAAGCAGTTGTGTAATGGCACATTGTAAACAGACAGAACAGCCGAGCGCCGAGCTGTCAATCACTACATCCATGGAGCCACTCTCTCTCTCTCTCTCTCTCTCTCTCTCTCCCTCTCTCCCTCTCTCTCTCTCTCTCTCTCTCTCTCTCTCTCTCTCTCTTGTATTCCTCTTCAAAGCTTAAGGGGAAGGAGAAGGGGGGAAGCAGGGCGGGGGAGGGGACGGGGTTATAAGCTAGTTTAAATGTAGGTTATCGGCTGGGCGGTCCGGGCTGGCTGCCTCTGCATGGTATCGAATTGGACAGCCCAGATGAGGCAGGTCCCCAGCAGCCCCCACCCTGCACCAAAAAACTTAACATCTTAAAAACCTGGAAAAATCCACATTGGGGAAAATAATTTATATACCTTTTTTTTTATAAATGTAGAGCACAAAGCAAATAAATCCCAGCCAAAATACAATCAGCGCGTGAGCACACAGAAAAACAATTCCAGCAGCAAGAACTCATTGAAGACCGTGCATGAGTAGATGAGCTTGAAAGATGAATAGACAAGGCCAAGAGCACAACAAAGCATGGATACACAAACACCCAATCTCATGATAATGTAAGCCCTCTTCTCAACTCGAACAATCAATACAGCAACAATGCAGCCCTAAGGTAATGACATCACCACCTACATTACTTTACTACACTAGCCTACCATCCTCCTCCCTCTCAAACTGCCCCGCGCCACTCAAAACTCTCATCCAACAGGTGCTCTCCTGCCCTAGACCAGGGCAGTATCCCCCTTTCCCCACAGCAGTCCACCTTTGCCAAGGCTCTTCCCTCCTCGCCACCTGCCTGCGCTGCGCTGCCCGGCTATGGCGAGGGAGATGCTCACAGCCATCGTGCTGATTCTGCCACACGACTAGGCACTGGCTCTCTCAGACCCTGGCATCGCTACCAGATGATACTGCCCTCAGTTCAACGTTGTCACCCCCTCAGCCTCCTTCCTCGTCTCGTTTGAGCCCAGGGTCCGGGCTCCCTAGCGGTCTGGGTCCAGGCCCAGGTACCTTCCCAGTCAGCACCCTGACTCAGGGCCTACTGCGTGGTTACATGAGAGGCCAGCTCAGGAATCCCCTTCTGATTCAGGCATGGCCACGACTTTCACTTGGGGCCACAGCCTGCTCATGGCCTCAGATTCCCAAAGCCTGAGGTTGGAGAAGCCCTCTGACCTTTCCCCGAAGGCAATAGTAAGGCCACCCTGGGCTAAAAGCGCCACCCGGTGTCAGATTAGACACATGATTGAATTTACCTGGGCTGGTTAGTCCAATGACTACTGGACCTGTGGCGGCACCGCCCGCAATAATGACGGAAGGTACAGTAGCAAAGCGTAGTAGCCTAGATTCTCTCTCTTTTCTATATTCATTTCGACTGCTCCGTAGGCGATCTGGGCTAAAATGGTGTAATTGATCTGGGCTAAAATGGTGTAATTGAGAGGGCCTGCGGGCAATTGTTGGAAGTCCCCATCGAGTATAAGATTGCAATTATTGTTAAGCAGATCTCTCCTCCCTTCCCGTTCCCCCCCCCCCGTCCCCCGTGAGAGAGAGAGAGAGAGAGAGAGAGAGAGAGAGAGAGAGAGAGAGAGAGAGAGAGAGAGAGAGAGAGAGAGAAGCGCAAGGAACAAGACGAAAGGAGTCAGACCAAATTGTTCAGTGATGACCGAAAGCTCCCTGCGCTGCCAGACTCCCAACATCCCCTGTCTCTACCTCCTAGTCACCTGCCCCACTGAATTGATGACAACAACTTCTGCAAAACCAAGGCCTTCCTCGGGCGACACCCTCCACACAAGGTCTGATCCAGCGGCTGCTGCTTTATGCCAGTTTATTGACATTTCTGTAAGGGTCAACGCACATCTCATGACGAAACAGGAAGCAGCAGCCCTTTCTTTCAAAAGCCTCTGAGCAAAAGAATATGCAGAGCACAAAACTTCTGTCGGCATTCCCTTCATACAGAGAGAAGCTGCCACCACGTCTTCTTCTGTGCCCACATTACATTCTCTCACAGCATGTATTTCATTCCCAAAAGACCGCATCCTCTGTTGTGTTCAATTAATTCTGAATAACAGCTTCTGTTGTGTATCAACACAACGGTGATCCAACTTGGCTGCATTCACTGGTGTTTCATGCACAAGGAAGCTCTGAACGGTCCACTTCTCATATTCCAATCTTCCTGTTCTCTCCTCCCAAGGCCCCCTCCCCTTCGAAACTTAAAATAGCTCCCTTCCCCTCTCCNATCTTATGGCAGATGGACTCGAACTCCGGTCTGCATTTCAACATTTCTTGGGTGTACCAACCGAGGAACAACAGTCCGCCCTCCTCAGCTGGGAAGGCGGCTGTCTCTTATACACATCTAGATGTGTATAAGAGACAGCTCTCTCTCTCTCTCTCTCTCTCTCTCTCTCTCTCTCTCTCCCCCGTCCTTCCCCCAACCTCCCCCTCCTCCACACCATTATGTGCTTGCATGGGGCAGCAACATGCTTGGCGGCCAGAAACCGTTAGGCGCTGGGGGCGCGCCCGTAATTTTTTGTTCTTTCTTTCCTGTCGCCATTACCTCCCGCTGCTTGTGTTACGGTTGCAAGTAGCCGTTCTGTTTCGTGGTTGGCTTAGCACGCTGTCTCTCTCTCTCTCTCTCTCTCTCTCTCTCTCTCTCTCTCTCTCTCTCTCTCTCTCTCTCTCTCTCTTGCGTGCGCTCATGCAGATTTTCCATTTCTTTGCGTGAGGGCATGCGGATTTTCCGTGTTCTTTTTTTTTAAACCACCAGTCCATCGGAGGCTAAATTGTCGAACCAGAAAGTGCATTTGTCCGAGCCTGACATCTACAGGGACCGCAGATTCAACCACGCGGGACATGGTACCGGTACCAGCAACATGTGTGACAAAAAGGAAAGGCAGGCAGGCAGCCCTCATCATTGCAGCCTGCCTGTCCGTTTTGTTTGGATTTTGTTTTTCGAATTTTCTGTTTGTCTGCTTTTTTTTGTGGGGTTGCATTTCTTTTTCTTTGCTTTTACAGGGCCACGTTCTTGAGGTATCATCATTGGAAAAAAAAAACAAAAAAAAAACGTGGTATCATCAGTGAGAGCAACAGGTATTTCCGAATTATGTCTATGGGATCTGGATTCGAACTTAGGGCTGTATTTCAAGAGTTCTTCGGTGTACCAACTGAGGGCATACTCGAACTTTTGCTCTACTACACTCTGGACGTGATTGCAGTCAGATTCATCCAGGTCTGACCATAATTTCAGTCAGATACATTCCTCCTGTGAGTCTGCCCTGATCTATGCCTGTGAGCTCTTTCCTTTGCTTTGTTTCGAATGCAGCTGTCCACCCTGCTGAGCTGGCATGCAGTTTATTTTGTTTTATTTTTCTGTTGATATTCTTTTTCCTTCCTTTTTCTTTCGAAAGGGCCACGGCCTTGAGGTGTCATGATTGCACTTCCCTAGCCAAAACGCCGAGAAAGTCAAGAAATAATCTTATGGCAGATGGACTCGAACTCTGGTCTGCATTTCAACATTTCTTGGGTGTACCAACTGAGGAACAGCAGTCCGCCCTGCTGAGCTGGGAGGGCGCTTTTCACGGGAAACGACGAGGCATCCAAAAGCTTGCAGAGTGTGCCTAGTGCGGTGTGGCTGTCACACAGTGGCACTCTCTTTGAGTTGTGGGCCCGCCAGCCCCAGCCCCACCAAGCCGCCTCCATGCCTGATCACTGTAGATTTCGGTTTGGTACTTGTCGACAAAAAAAAAGAACAGTACAGGGGGTGATGGACTGGTGGTTTAATGGTCTCGATGCACCAAGGATCAGATATGAAACTGATCGGGACACATAGTACACAGTCCTAGTCAGAGTTTCCACCACTGAAGCACAAATGCGTTGGTATTCCAATTTAATAAACAAGTGGTAAGACAAGGGAGGATACAAACATCTACAAAAGAACAGAAGCTGAAATTCTTGTAATCCAGAAAATCACATCAGATCCTTTTTGCTTGCCAAAACGGCAGGCTTTCAAAAGCAGGAGCAGGAAATTTTCAAAAGCAAGAGGTCTACCAAGGAGAGTAGGATAAACAGAAAATTTCAAACTTGGTGGAAAAGGATGTTTTCAATTACTCACGAATTGATGTGGATGTACTCTGCCAATGCTTTCGAGAGCACATAAATTTGCCCAGTTGCATGTCTCAAATAGCTGCTTGTTCCAAAAAAGAACAACAATCCAAAGGACAAACATCATGTGGAAACAGAGGAGCGACTATCAGGAATCAATACTAGAAAATCATTCTGCAAATTTGCAATTTAGGGAATCTCAAAGGCCAACACTATCAAACATCCGCCTTCACATCACTTTTTGGGATTACCAGATCAGAGACATCTTCAGAGAAATCCCTCAAGTTCGACCACAATGAATGTCAATCACAACTTCCGCAACAACAATTTCAAAGAAACAGGCAAGACACTGACTTCTGTGAGCAACAAGAAAGTTCTGCATCACCCATCCTAACCACACTCCGCAAGTGGCATCTTCCCCGTCCCCCGCTCCTTCTCCGGCACCATCCATCCATCCATCCATCCACTCATCCATCCATCCATACCTCCTTTTCTCTCCCTCCCTCCCATCCTCCATCCATCATCCATCATCTGGACTCCATTTCCCCCTCCCCTCTACCACCAATGTACACAGCCATGCATCCATGCCTCCTCCTCTCTCCCTCCCTCCGAGTGACATGTGCTCTTTAACATAGCCACTTCACCGGTTGTTGTTGCCGAAGCATCTCTGACGATACAGTGACGTGTACCATAAGATTGCAAGGCGTGGCTCCGCCCATATACAAAAAGAGATATGGGTTAAAAGTTAAAACTGAAAAGAGCGAAAAAACAAGATCTCTCAAGAAACATCACAAATTGCAAAAAGAGCCATCAGACGTGCAGACAAAACTTTCAGACTCGTGATTACTGTGTGACCAAGTCACAGAACATCTGAACACCCAACAGTCCTGCATCCAACCCTCTTTGGCAATCCTAAAACAGTCCCATCTGACAGCAACCCCTAAACCCAGGCTCATCTCACACCCAACACTTGGAGCTGAACCCCAACTTGTGCATGACAACTAATTACTCATAATTTGTATGCCCGGACCGCGATGCCGACGCCAAACCGATCCTGCAGATGACCCCAACAAACCCTAACCCGACCCTCCCCAACTGTCAGAACCTGCTCCACTCTTCACCCCTCAGAAACGAACCCAAACCTGCATGGCACATACCCTCTGAGCCAAGCTCAAATGGCCCTTCACAAAAGAGTCCAAGCTGCACCTCACAAAACACAACCTTTTCTCGGTTTTCCCACTTCCCACTTGTCCATCATTTTCCCTCGCCTTTGCCATAACAGTGTACCACTCATGCAAACAACCATTCCACCAACCACCTGACCATTGCCGGACAGCATTAATCAGCCGATTTGGAGCACAACCCTAGATTTGCAGCATCCAATGCTGTATTTTGCGCACGTCCCCATAATGCCACAGTGCCAGCAGTACAATGAAGTGAATGAACCCCTAACACCGACTTAAATGAATCCAACCATTGACTGTCTTGATCCACCGACATTCAGGAAACGACGTCATCCAAGTAAGCACTGTCAGATAAATCCACACCTGAACACGACACCAAATCATTCCTTAGAAGCAACAAGTTCTGCAAAAAGTAGAAAAGCTCATAGCCTCATACCTTTTCTGGTCGCCAAACTTCCAAGACTCTGGTTCATACCACTTCATCTCCCTGATGCGGAACAAACGCCAAGCAAAAATGGTCCAATGGGGCAAATGGAGGAGTCACTCAGCTTGATCAGGAGTGATTCTATATGACTGGAACAGCATAGAACCAGAGCAAAATTCAACAACATACAGAACTTGAATACTCAAGCCAAAGATGTTGGGTTACGCAGTGTGGAGGCGGCCTGTGTAGTTACCAGACCTTGACGCGTGCTCAGTTGTCGTGACATCACAGTCGTGATGGCCACGCACAGGATCTGAAGGGTCATCAAACTGAGCATCACCATCCAGTCGTACTTACATTCACACTAGCATCCCCGTCCAGCCTTTCATCCGCACAACTATGCGGAGGGGACATTTTTGTCCTGTGTGTGATCCAGAAGACTTGTTTCACGTTATTTTAACTTATTTATCAATTATGGAAACACAGTAATGAGGGGACATTCACACTAGCCCCTGGCCGGCCGAAGTACCTGTGCTGCCTCCCCTGGGGGCTGCCAAGGCAAGAGAGCATCAGAAGCCCCAGCACCCAGCTAGGATACATGCTAGGAGTACTGAGTGGGAGGGAGAGAGATGCTTTTAAAAGAGAAACAAGTTATAGGGAGGGAGCATAGCTTAAAGGACTCGGAGGAGGTTAGCAGTCAGAGGTTCCTCAATGTTGTCGCGTCATTGCGGCCATATCGAGGTCATGCTGACCTGTTAGCCGTTGGCACTCCTGCTGGGAGTGCTCTCTGTACTCATCCTTGGCCTGGTTTGTTCATGACCAGATCTTGACAAAAGGAAGAGAGAGATTATAGGGGAGTAAAATCCGAGTAATTGTTTTACGGAGTGTTGCCACTGAGTAAGAATGAGGACAATCATGACTGGGAGTTCAATTCGGCTCTGAATAGGTTTATTGGTCATGACGCTAAGGATCCCAAGTTCGCGATTGGTTGGAATTCGGGATCTCCCGAAAGTGCAAACACTGGGGGCGGCAGAGCGACCTTAGTAGTGATTGATGTCAGACATCACAAAGGGTCCTATGGAGAACACAGATTTGATTGATCATTCACACGGCGTCCATCCAGGTTGCAGTTGCCCACAGTCAAGTGGTTCTCAACTAGTCAAAGCTTCCATATGTAATACCTCAGCTCGTATCATGCTATAATCGTAAACCATAGTCGTCACCTCAGTCTAAAGGGCCAAATCAGGGGCCAGCGGCCACACCCCATGTCAATAAATAGCCTGAACAAAGGCCAGCCGCTGTGGGTACCAACGCAAGGCCTCAAAAATGGCTTCAGAGGCCCTACATGCAACTTGACCACGGAGAGTCAAAGCTCAACAGCAGCTCGGAAATTCAGGCTCGTGAGACAAAGTCAACACGGACCCAGCCCAGGCCACTGATCAGACACATACACTTGGCTGTTTGCAGGTATCTGCGAAGAATCCAGTCCAAGTGAGAATCTGCAACTGTATGAGATCCACGCCAATGACTTTGGGTCAATCTGGGCCGTCATATCCGAGAGACCAGAGGCTGGTCAAACTCGAGTCAACACTACATATTGACTCATCCCCTGCTGACCAGCATTCAGTCTTGCACTTGCTGCTTGAAGCTGGCTCGAAGCTGGCTCGACGTTGGCTCGAAGCTGGATGGACGCTGGCTTGATATTGGACGACGACGTAAGACTGCTACTGCTATGCGCTGGTGCCATTCTCTGTCTTCGGTGCCAGCTCTACTCTTGATTACGCTGAATTGGCTCTCGCCACACTGTCTACGACATTTATATGGTATTGACGAGGAGAGGGAGGATCAGGGCTGTGAGACTGGTCGAGTGTAGAAAGGAGAGCTTATCTGTTCACAATCGTGAAGACAGTGCGCTCTGCTGTTGTCTTCAGGAGGAGTCTGCGCCGTGTGCGCCATGTTGAGATCTGTTCGATGTCAGTGTGTGTCAGAGGAAACTGTCTGCTGACGTGGCGAGTAGGAGATGCTCGAAGGAGGAGTGGGCCAAGAGCGAGATCTATCTGCTAAGCTGATGGTTACTTTCCCTTCCACCCTCTCAGTCTAATCTCCCTCTCATCACTCTCTTCTCTGGTTACTTGACCTTAGCCGCTTAATTACATGCATGATTGGAGACGTTGAAACTGTGCTGAGACATTCTCTACTTCGACATTGTTGAGCTTTCCTCCTGACTGGGTTCATTGCACATATCTTCAGTGCGCTGTATTCTTGCCATCCGTGCTTGGTTGGCCAGGTGCTCCTCTCTTTCAAATATGTTGGCAATGAAATGATTGCCCATGAACCGCCTGCAAAGTCGAGTTAATTGAGACCTGGCCTGGTTCATTGCAACGTAGTTCCTCTGTTGAACATTCTTCTCACATCTATGAGGTCCAGGTGACTACCGTAGGATCCCGACGAGTCAGTGCCTGCTGGCTCCATCCCAGTAATTTGCACTAGAAGGCGTTTTAAGACACACCACTATCTAACAACTTGCAATTTGCAAAGGTTAACCTGCACGAGGATTGACACATCTCATACTTCATCCTGGTGACCTCTCTCCCGATAGGAGCAAAGTGGAAGTTCTACTGTCATGTCAAACAGCAATTCATCGGTTCTGAATGTACCATGGAAGCATGAGAGAGGTATCAAATTCACACATAACATGAATGCCTCCCATCCTGCCCTGGTTCAGATGACCAGCCAATCCTCCCTGCAGCCATGATCTGAAAGTCGTGCGGAGATATCACAATTCAGTCTGACAGTAGAGCCAGACTAGTCCCACAATGCTCGAGCTCCCCTGACTGTGTGACCTATTCAGCTTCAATTGGCATGTGATCATGTGAAGTTTCACGATGTGCAAGAATGAACCAGGCCGCTATGTTGGTGCAGCTTCAGCAATTTCAAAGTTCTGTCAATCCATATGTGCAGCCTTAAAAGACAAGGTCAAACCATATGTCATGTCGGTTAAAGCACCAGTACATTCAAGCTTTTTATTTTTTCTTTCAGAATCAGAAATCAAATTCACTTTCTAAAACACAGAAGCATACTAAAACTTCTGCTTTTCCCACGCAAATGATCCCGCACACATGCACACACACACAAGATAGCATGTTGCATGCATCTAACTGCCAAAGTGCCAACCAACACAGTGTTGTTGGCTCTAAGAGGCAACAACCTTTCCACCCACATTTCTTCCTTGTCGCAGCAAACATGTGACAGGCAGTTGATAACCTCCAGATATCCCATCACCAGGCAAGAACACCATACAGGACAAGGAATCGAAAAGCTTACGGCTTCGTGTAGACTTCTCCAGATTTCATGCATCCCGCATATACACGTGGTTCCGCTGAATGCTCTTCAAGAAATGCCAGCAAGCTATCTGCAGATCAGGAAGTCATCCAGAACAGACCAGCAAACTTCACTGTCAACACGACTAACCTCAGTTGGGCTGACGCTTGTGATGCTTGGCTGCAGGCACGCAGCCATTCTCCTAATTAAAACCAAGGATCTGGATCCCACAATCAAAAATAGATGGGCGAAGTTGATTGCTCAGGAAGCCACCCAGATATCACAGATACCGTGGAAGAAGTTCAAATCAATCCGACCGGTTAAAATTAGAAGCCTCCAATGGCTTATCTCATACTTAGCATTACCTGTCAAGTTTCAACCAATGGCTGCATATCAGAAGAAGACATAATGACCCCAATAGCTCTGACTTATGGCTACTGTGCTTGGAAAATGAACCGGCAGATATGATACACTGTTCAATAAGGTGCAGACAAGCGACGGAAAATTGGGCCAGGGCATCAGACCTCTCGGCCTCCCTTTTCCCTACCCCTCCCCGAACACCCCATCCAACTCCTCCTATGGACTAACATGCCCCCTCATTTCCACAAGTCCGAAAAAGATATGGTTTGGGATGATCAGAAAAGTAAAACTCTGGTCTACATGGAAGGAAAGGTGTAGCAGAAATATTGAAGGGCTATCAACCATACTTGCAAGCRGACGGACCGGACGAGCGTCCGGTCCGGTCCGCTTTGCCGCGTGCGGCACCCTCCCCCCAGACCGGACGGGGCCCTTCTTTTTTTTTTTTTTGGGGGGGGGGGGGTAACTGGTCGTCGGGCGCACATTCGTGCGCCGCGCGGGTCCGGTACGGCGGTCCGCCGCACGTGCGGAACCGTGCGGACGGCGTCCGCTTGCAAGTATGCTATCAACACCAAGGGAGAAAGTTCGGGCGGAGACAAGGACACTAACTCAGGCAGAGATTTTGTGCAAGTGGCAGAAGACAAGAATCTCCATGACGGATGATGTGGATCAGCAGCACCGAACAGTGGAGAAATTTGCGAAGATATGGCTGGCAGGCAGCAAGGTAGCAGAAATAAAGGACTTCCATACGATGGAAGGATTGGCACAACTAGAAGTGGGCCTGAGAAGAAAGAGAATCCAGCAAGCTCCATCACAGGGCACATAAGTATCATAGCAAAAAGGCTTTGAACCTACAAGTGCAGACAAGTGCGAAGACTGTGGCTGTCCCTTCGCTTATCCCTTTCTTGTGCTTCGAGATAAATATGACGGGTCCTAGTTATATAGACCTGAGAGGAAAGGTGGAAGTAAGGCAAGCCGACGGTCAATCCTCCATACTGCTGGAGTGATCAATGCTGATCAGGGATCCTTCAGCCAGACGGAAGGAAGCGTGAGTCTATTGATAATTTGATATTGTTAATTTTTGACTTGTAGGTGGAATAGGAACCTGACTGATGCTAACGGACGACATTCGGTCTTGCACATGCTGCTTGACGCTGGCTTGACGCTGGTAGGACGACGCAAGACTGCCAAAGCTTTGTGCTGGCACCATTCTCTGTGTCTACCGCGCCAGCTGTGCACTCGATTATGCTGACGAGGCTCTTGCCACACTGACTCGGACATTGATGCAGAGTATGGGCGAGGAGGAGGAGGATCAGGGGCTGCCAAAGTTTTCCGCTGTCGCCATTCTCTCTGACTACGGTGCCAGCTGTGCGCACTTGATTGTGCTGGCGTGGCTCTTGACACACTCACTGCGACATTGATGTGGAGTATGGGCGAGGAGGAGGAGGACCAGGGCTGTGAGAGAATGGTTGACTGAGAGAGGGAGGCGTACCTCATTGTGATTGTGTCTACATTGCGCATTTCTGCGTACCTGATTGTGATTGTGTCTCTACATTGCGCATTGCTGTACTCCGCATCTTCAGCGGGGAGTCACCGCCATCCTCCCAGGCCGATTGCTGACGTGGCTGGGGGACGGGCGCCGTGATGGCCTCTGCTTACTGTCAGAACTTGTCCGGTGAGACTGTTTGCTGACGTGGCAAGTAAGGAGGTGGTGCCCAAAGAGATTGGAGCTCGCGTAATTTTCCCTGGGTTTTTACTTTACGACGAGGGAAGAGAAAAGGGGGATACGTTGACTGTACGCTAAGGAAGGGGAGATAAGGGGGGGGCAGGAAGACGAAACTAAGGAGAGGAGGGMGGGAGGACGAGGAATAAGGGAGGGGAGGAAAAGAGGGAAGAAGAAGAGACAGAAGRAGGAGGTGACGAGACAAGAAGGAGAAGGAGGAGGAGAAGAGACAAAARSAAARCAGCAGAGGAAGGCGGTGAAGGAAGTGGTAGAGTAGACAGCAAAGGAGGACGAGGGAGGAGGGAAAAGGGAGCAGATATGGCTCTTTCCTATGTGGAGGCGGCACAGAGGGCAATGACTGAAAAGGAGAAATTGGACTTCCAACGAACGCGGGGGATTTCTAAAGGAGGACAATCATTACAATCATCACAGTCGACTTCCAAAACAGAGACAAACGCAAACACAGGGGGGCCCAAGCAGAGCACATTGGGGCAGAAAGCAATGGATTTCTTGATGGAAAAGACTAAAATTACGGCAAATATCAAGGTAACCAAAGAGGTGATCAAGGGCGAAGGGGGAAAAGAAGAGGAGGTGGAGGTTTGGGAATATCCAGAAGAAGATATCCAAACGTTGAATGAATTGTATGAGAGACATG